AGGGAATAATGATACAATTTTCGTCAAAAAATCATGGAAAAGAAATTGAGCTTAGTACATGGAATCATCCAAGAAAAACAAATGGATCGAAAACATCATGTTTTTACGTTCTGTTTAGGGTTTGATAGTGTAGTTTTTGGCCGCCATTATCCGTCGGCGGTACTCGGCAAGGCAAATTTCTTTCTCGAGTACATTTTTTGGGAAAGTCAAGCGTGTATAACGTGAGAGGAAACTTACAGTAATTGGTTGGAAACAAAGTACTCAACGCTCTCCTCGTGGCTGGTGGTGTCTTTTCCGACTACCGGTTAATGTACGGCGGATTCAAAGGCCAGTGGTCCCTTCCCCACCCCACCCCACCCCCCTTTTTCTTAATAAATTAAACTATCTCTTACTTTATAATTCACCTTATATATGTTTCGAATTTAAAATTTTTTATCTTTACAAAAACATATTATCAAATTAATTAAATTTATAAAAATTATGTATGTGAATTTAATACAAAATTTATATCAAATTTAAAATTAATTGATAATAAATAAAATAAATCTTTTTATAATTTACGTATATATTTATTTATTATATACTTAATGTGAGAATTTTTCATTCAACAAAATCATTGATCAATTTATAAGACTATAAATCTAATTTACACTATTATAAACCTAATAAAAAAGTATTTTATAATTCAAACGATTCTAAATTAAGAGATTTTTTTTATTTAAAGATTTTTAATTTACAATTTAAAATATAAAATAGCATACTCAAATCTTATTTACAATTCTTTATTTCTTGACACGGAGATGAGATATTCAAAACAGTAAAATAATTATTAACTTTTACGTACAAAAAAAGAGAAAAAAAAAAAAAGAAGAAAAGAATTAGTAAGTTTTAATTTGCACCTAAAAATACTGTTAGGAGGATGAAGAAAATAGAGTACAGTGGTCCACTCTCGTATATTGTAGGTCCATCTTTTTTTGTAGGTACTAATAATTTCCTTTTTCCAAACTTTGAGCATCGTAACCTTGAACTTCCAAATTTGGGTTTAATTAGTTAATTTAATTTTATATTAATCTTTTATAGTTTATAATTTAATTTAATAATTTTTTATCATTTGTGAATCTATGAATATTAATTGATTGTTATGTAAATTATTATTTTTAAATTATCTTTGTCATATGTAAACCACAATATTTTTAATCATTAATAAAAAAAAATAAAATTTTAATTACAAAAAAGAGAGTCCACTATTTCATTAATAATTATAAAAAATACAAACAAATTGTACTTAAATTTTATGAAATTAGCTACTTACCTTTAACGAGTGTGAGAAACACGTGATGCTGGGGCCTATACATATAATATATATATATACACACACACACAACTAATTTTCTTGCCATGTGCAAGGAAAATCAAAATTACTTTATAAAAATGTCCAAAACTAAAAGCACTTTTTGACCTAAGTCCGTCGACATCTTGAGTCCAAGGTCCAACTTTTGCAATTTGCA